ACGGGGTAAACGGGTTCGAAGGGGAGGAACACAGTCCCGCCAATGGCTTGCCCTCGGGGGATATCAACCAAGCGGACGATGGAATGAATGCGTCGTCGCCTGCCCTTATGGAAAATGTGGGGGATGGGCGTGCGAAGCAGGATCTTAGCGACTTCACGCCCTAACACAAGCCTCACCCTGCAAAGGAGCGTACCCCACAGTGGTCAGATAATGGTAACCTAGGCATTGATCAGTTGCAGTAAGTTTTTTTAATTATTACTACTCCCTTTGCGATCAGCTTTATGAAATAAAACTATTTTCGCATCACGATTCGTTATATACCTTTCATTTTTCCACATAGTGTAGCAAAATAAGGTGTTTAATTAATAAAAATATTAAATAGTAATAATGGCTTCAAATCAAATTTTTCTCCATATTACTGGAGGGAGAACGGTATGGGTTCCTGCCCACAAGGCTGCGCCCCACGAAAACAAGCCCGTTCATATTCTCGCCTCCGTAACGTCGATGGAGCTCTCGCGGTCCTTCTACCTTTACGACTATCCTGTTCAGGTTGTCGAGGATCCTCGCCAAGCTGCGGTGAGCCCGAACTGCAAAACTGTCCAAGATGTCATCGTAGCCGTGAATGAATTCCGTCGGGCCTGCCAGGCGGACCACGAGTATTTATTCCAGCGTTGCTATGACCCGAAGAAGCCGCACGCGGGGATGCCAGCCTCACAGCCCATCAGCGTCCAAAACCCCGTCGGGCAGACCGATCTTCTCGCCCAACTTCTTCAACAACGCCAACAACAACAGCAGCAGCAGCAGCCAATGATCCCCAGTAGTCTGCTGAATGCGGACGCCTCGATGGACGGAGGGGCCGCGTCCTTGTCAACCTCGGTGGGTGGGGTCCTTGGCAGCATGGGGGATGCCAGCACCAACGGCGCTAATCGCTATAATAACAGAGCCCAGGGCAATTACATGGAGAACTTTGGGAATAAAAATGCAATGGGGGATAATAAATCGATGATGATGATGCTTGGGGTTGGAATGCCTTCGGCGACGCCGTCGTCCTTTAGCCCGACGACGATGATGTTAGGCGGGGTTACCAGCTCGAATCCAACTCATGGTAACTACAACGCGGCGAACAACCCCGGCAATATGTTCTTCCCGAATAATATGATTCCATCGATGATGATGATGCCACAGGGTCCCTTTGGGCATTCGAATAGCCCGAACCCGGCTTCCTCGAACGGTACGAATCGTGTAGGACCCTACAATGGCGAAACGCGTCGAGAACCCGAACTAATTGAGATCAAAGTAAAGATCCCGGACGAGATCCTCCGTACGTACACCAACCCCTCCCAAACGTTGGTATGTGCCACCATGCCTGGGCCGCGCATGACGGTGTGGTTACGCGAACACCCCGTCCCGGAGAACAAGAAGGACTTAAAATATGTATTTTGTAAAGGCGGTATTGTGTTGATGTTAAAAGCCCAAGGCAGTGAGGTCAAAGACAGCAAACCGGTTGAACTCTTCCCGAAGCAGATTTGTACTCACTTTCTAATTCATGGGTACTGCTCCAGGACGAATTGCTTGCATGAGCACCACTCAGAGGAGCAGCTGCGCAAATTGATCGCGGCCCGGCATGTGGAGCTCAAGGCCATGACGAAAAAGGAGCGGCACCAACTGATTGATAAGATTTTGGAGAAGGAAAAGAACGGCCTTCGCGCCGCAGAGGAGGAGCGTGAGGCCCGGCTTCGTCAACGCCAAGGCCGTCTTCAGGCCAAAAACCAGCTAGAGCAGGGCCGAACCCGGCCCTCGCACGACAATGACGAGACCGCCCTAACCCACCTCCATGACGACACCCCCAAGCAACTGGACAACCTCAGCGACGACAGCAATGACAACGGGGACCGGCAAGGGGCGCCCGGGGTTTCGGTCAAGGCCGCGAATTCCTCGGAAAGTCATGGGTTAACGCCTTTTACGGTGGGGAAGAAGCCTGGACAGGCCACCGCCGCGGGAGGGCTGCTGGCCCCCGCCTCCGGGATCTCCAAAAGCGTGACGAACGTCACCAACCTCGGCGTCACCGACAGCGGCGATGAGGACAGCTCCAGTGATGCTAGCAGCAATAGCAGCTCATCCTCGTCGTCGTCGTCGCGGTCGCCTGCTCGAAGCGAAAGCGAAAAGGGCGAACCTGTGGAAAAGCCAAAGACCAAGCCCTCGCCCAAGGTGACGCCCGCCGTCAAAGACCTCAACGAAGTTGCCAAATCCACATCGCTTGATGGCAACCCCGTGAAGGAGATGGTCAAGAAATCGACGGTGATGAAAATGGAGAAAACAGCGGCTATCAGTGTCAACGCGGAGAAAGAGGAACCGGAGACCAATGGGGTACCAAAGGCCAAGAGTGAAACTCCTACCGAACACAGCAAAGACGAGGAGGCATCGGTGGAAGAACTTGAATCCGAAGTGGAGGAGGATGAAGAACAACTGACTGTAAAACGCAATAAAAAGGCTACCAAAGCTGCTCCAAAAAAGTCACCCAACAAAAAGGCGAAATCCGAACCGAAAAAGCGTGAGCGTCCAGCAAGTACTTCCAAAAAGGCACCTGTCAAACGAACGAAGAAATAAAAAAAAGGCAATGAGGGAGATAACCATCTTGATAAAGCAACTTTTGTACTCTCTCTTTGGGACACATTTACATATAGATATTTACTTAAATATGCAACTTAGAAACCTTTATATTTCCTGACATTTGACACACATTAGCACTTTTGTATCTATATATATATATATATAAATAGATATAGATATACCTTTACTCCACCTGGAGAACACATAAGGAAATGAGACAAATGTAGTTAGCATGTGCAAGATATCTCTAAATTATACATACTTATATATATCTATATCTATATCTATATGTATAGATATATATGCATACCTTTCATTTTAAAAGAATTTAGTGAGGTTGTTTTTGAAATTTTCTCAGGTATAGAAAAAAGGAATCATTACTAATATATTACTAAGGGCAATATTTCAAAATAGACAATAGTAACAAAAAGCCCCCCGTAAGGTAAATAGCGAATACAGAAGTTTGAAATGTTCTATACATTTTTAAATAGAGCATATTAACAAGTAATATATATATATATATCTATATAGATGATTATTTTTGATAAACAAGAGTTCTACTTTATTAAAGGAAGATAGTTACGCATTTATGCATATTCTTCAGAGCTGATGCTTGACAGCATAATCGGAATGCGAAGTAAATAATTTATGGCGAAAAACTTTATTGTTTTAAATTGTTAAATAGTGCTTAGTGTGGCTGTTACTGGTGATTTTTCTTTGTTTTGATTGACGTTTTGGTCGCATACTTTTAGAATCTAAATTTTAGGTATGTTTTCCTTTTTTAATTTTCAAATTTTGGAGGTGTTTTTTTTTATACTATTTATCTATTTTCAGTTAACACAACTCAATATATTCCACTCATCACAATTCATATTATATAGCTTTTATCCTCCTTTATTTTTACTCTTGAATTCTTATATTCACATACTTTTTCTTTCTTACTTCTTATTGCTACTTAATCTTCATTCACGTACACATCTCAAGGTAAGCTTCTTGGGGGAGGGGGAAGAAGGAGGGAAAGATAAAAAAGCGAAAATGGTTTGCTGTAGCCCGCTTATCCTGCAAAGGACCCACACACATATACACATGCGCACACATCTATATATCTCGAGTGAAAACTCAGTGACTGACTTCTTGAGGAACGAAAAAGATAAGAAGTCAAAAAAAGTGGCAGAACTTAGTAAAAGGATATGAAAGCAAAAGCGAATCACCCCAATATATTTCTCCTAATAAAGCAAAAATGGTATTATACGTTTCAAATACATCAAGACTCACAAATAACGCCCTTACCAGTGAATTTCAAACCTACTCAAAGTAGGACTAAGCAAGATGAATTCCTATAATAGGTTAAAAGATCTCTCTTTTCTTTTCTTCATTACATTTTTTTTTCTGGTTGTTGATTTACTTTATCTTTTTTCTACTTCCATACTTAAATGTATGGTGTCAATTTTGAACACCGTCGAGTTAACGAAAACAACGTATATTACCTGTAGAATAATTTTCATGCATAGAGATGTTATTTTTCCTTTAATATACTCCCCTTACTTTTCATTTTCTTGTAGATTATTTAATTAACATGTTCATTTGAATCTGTTGCTCATAGGCTTTTCAAATGAAAATAAGTAACGAGCGTTAAATATATCACTATATATTACTATCAATGCATGTTACTAATGAATTTTCTAAAATATAATAGTTGATATACCTAAAGTAGCACAAAGGAAAAATGACCCACAAATACAATCGAATTCGCTATTTACGTTTTCTATAATGTACTATGAACGAATAGACAGAAGCCTCCTTGAGGTTTAGGCAAGATACAGTTGTATATTGAGTAAGCAGTGTGGATATCGTCTCACTAATCGCCATTTTCAAACTGCTGTTATTATACTAGATAACGTTTTTTATTCCTTCTAATCAAAAAGCTATTCATCAGAAGATTAATTTGACACAATATTGAATGTCTGCAGGTGTATTATAGGAAAAAAAAAATCATTTTCCCAAAGAATTTATTCGAAAAAAAACATCATGGTGGTTCAAACCTCATCTTATGAACATCATGATGCAATAGAGGATTTCAAACGAGTTGCTAATTCATCTGACCCCTTAGAATTTCTGGAAATGGGTTTAACCTCCTCTACGGTGTCACCAGAGTGGAAGGAAGACTTCGAAAAGTACAAACTTAACGATGGGTAAGAGTCCATAAAGGCGTGCTGGCGAAGTACTGAGATCTCTTTTCCGACAGCAATTTTGATGTTTCCACTAAAAAGTCTAATTTAATTTATTCACTGCAGATGAAAGTCTACAAGTGATAAATATTCATGATTAAATAAATAATGACATCATCCTCAAGAAATATGCACTGCAATATTGATTCTATAATAAATTGTATGCATATATATACTCAATCAACTTTTACAACAACGCTTCCCTTTTTATTTCGAAAACGTGTAAATAACATTTTGATTAAAATGTTTAATAGATCATGGTTACAAATTGAAAATGTAACTAAGGGAACTGGAACAAATCTGATGAATTATTCATCAGGGCTATTTAGTACCAATATCACTTTAGCGAATTGTTACAGTCATTTGTATTTTATATTGAAGTGAAAATACACAGTTCAATTCTATTTTATTGAAAAAATGACTATTGAACTATGCCTTTAAAATATATAAAAGGAGGGAAAA